ATGCCTGGTTGTGCAAGGCCATTCCCTGCAGAGCATCCAACAATCACCTCACCAGTACAAGTGTGTTTAAGAATGATTTAGAACTGGATCAGATAATACTCTAAGCCAGGGGTAGGCAACCTTGCTCTTTTATGATTCGTGGACTTCAACTCCCAGAATTCCTGAGCCAGACAATTCTGGGAGTTGAAGTCCACGAGTCATAAAAGAGCCAAGGTTGCCTACCCCTGCTCTAAGCCATAATGTGGTTTAATAGCTTCGCTTTAACACTTTGTATGAACTCTGTCATTAGGTTTTGTCTACCAAAATGTATACCTTAACATGGTGGACATATTCATTTGGCTATGATTTATCTGATCATCCATGCTAAATGAATCATACTATGTTTGAATTCAACTTAGATTTAGGACATTGTAAAACAAGCAAAGCAATGCCCAAGCTGTTGCTACTCCCACCATTAGCAAAAGAAAAACAAAGCCAAAATTATTCTTTAGAAAATTCAGAAAAAAAACCTAAGTTATTCCCATTGTGTTGTTGTTAGTTGCGAAGTCATGTCCGACCCATCGCGACCCCATGGACAACATTCCTCCATGCCTTCCTATCCTCTACCATCTTCTGGAGTCCATTTAAGCTCACGCCTACTGCTTCAATGACTCCATCCATCCACCTGATTCTCTGTTATCCCATTCTTCTATTGCCCTCAATCTTTCCCAGCATTAGGCTGTTCTCCAGTGAGTCATTCCTTCTCATTAGGTAGCCAAAGTATTTGAGTTTCAACTTCAGGATCTGGCCTTCTAAAGAGCAATTGGGGTTGATCTCTTCTAAGACTGACCAATTTGAATGCCTTGCAGTCCAGCACCATAGTTAAATTTTGCTTCCAATATCTCAAGATAGTGTGCATATCATTCTGTCCTCCCATCTCCACACCCCACAACTCTATGAGATAGTCTGGATTGAGAAGTGTGACTCGTCTCATGTCCCTACTGAGTCTCCATGGCAGAAGTAGACTGCAACACTACCCACTGCCCTAGTCCAACACAATAACTAATAATTAATAATTAAATTAAATACTACTGATGATAACAACAACAATAATAATAACAACAACAATAACAATAAGTTGAAAGGGACCTTGGAGGTCTTCTAGTCCAACCCCCTGCTCAGGCAGAAAACCCTATACCATTTCAGACAAATGGCTGTCCAGTCTCTTCTTAAAAATGTCCAGTGTTGGAGCATTCACAGCTTCTAGAGGCAGGTTGTTCCACTGATTAATTGTTCAAACTGTCAGGAACTATCACACTGCAACTTTAGATGCCTGGATAAAGATTATTCCTCAGTATTAAAGCACCTTTTAACATTGTATGTTAAAAGTTCATCTGTGAAGTCATAGGACCAA